ATAACATATTTTTCTTAAATATATACATGCATGTGTTTGTATTTATTTATATATATTACATAATAAATATACACAGTACACACTCATATATTATGTAAACAAAAACTTATTTTGGATGTGATTAATCACGATTAATCGTATGACAGCACTAGTAAATATATAATCAAAATGTGCTATTATGAAAAAAAAACAGCTGTTTAGAGTATCATAATGGAAATAAACTATCATCGAGATTTCATTTGACTTGCAACAAATGCTCTACCACAGTGGTTCCAAAACCTGTCCTGGAGGACCCTCTGCCCTGCACATTTTGTATGTCTCCCTAATCAGACACACCCAATTTAGTTCGTGCAGTCTCTACTAACGAGCTGATGAGTGGAATCAGGTGTGTTAGATAAGGGAGACATACAAAAGTTGCAGGGCAGGGGGCCTCCAGGACAGGTTTGTCCTGTCCTGGAGTGGAAATTTTCTTTTAGATACTCAACTTAACTAGTATTCATTACAGAGCCTACTAAAATGCATTAAATGCTTTTCATAGGTGCAATTTAGCACCTTCTTTATTAGCTACTTCATCATCATCATCAAATGCATAATCAAAAAATGTGTTTTGTTAAATATAAATCTAACTGTTCATATGATTCAGAGAAAATCTAGGAGTCATTTGTGCTTAAATCCACATCTTTCAAAACCTGTTCTTTGAGTAAACTTTCATATCCTCTTCTGCTGAATATCAACTACTAAAGATTGTGGAATATTTCTTTTATTAAGTTTCTGTAAATATTTAACAAAAACTGGATGGTTTCTGTTCTTTCTCAGCTGGCTTTTATGATTTAAAAATAAAATGATTTCTTGCTCAGTTGACCAGTCAGGATAAGATGGCCCAGGTGATCCAGAGAGCTCTGCAAAAACACAACCTGGAGGATGTTAGTGAGCAGGACTTCACCCTCGTACAAGTTCTGGCCCAAGGCAGAGGTACTGAAAACTCATTGAAATAAATAAAATGGGTCATTAGTAAAATTAGAGAAAGTTCTGAAACCCACTATACAGTGCACAGCATAAATGAGTACACCCCCTCTGATTAAATATAAAAGATGTATTTTCTTAATGATCACTAATATAATACATAGAAAGATAGCATCAATTTAAATGTATTAAACATATTCTTAATAAAAACAGAGAAATACATGCCATTAATATCTGTAAAATAAGAAGCTTAGCCAATTTTTTTTTAAATGAAGGATTGCAGAAATGAGTACACCCTAAATTTAATTCAGAAAATGTATAATATTCTAGTACTTAGTATGTCCTCCAGAACTTAAGGTAAACTGCTCTGACACTTCTTGGCACCGAGTGTTCAAGTTCATGACAAATGTTCACATCTGTGCTGTTTAACTCCTGGAGGACGAGTTGTGCAGTGGCATTCCAGAGACACACTTTCACATCCACTGTCATGTGTGATTGCATTTACATGTCATTTGATGAATCAATTTAAAAAATATATAATTTCTGATTTATTATTGTATGGTGTAGTGTGGCAGCTTTACTGAACATTCAATGGATATTTTTATACCACGTCTTACTGTATATTCTCCTTTATCAGCATCAAATTCAAGTAACTTGACTCTCCACAATCAGTCTGCTTTGATAAACTTTTACAAGCTCTTGCATAGTAGAAAAGAAGACAAATTAAATTAGCACTCAAAGGCATTTTAATATAGATATGTTAGTAATACAATATTTATTTATATTAGTTTGTTGTAAATTTCAGATATAATGCAATGTACAAAATAAGATGGTTTAACTCCTGGAGGACGACCTTGAATGCTCTGGTCTTTAATGGGGAGTGTTGCTCAGCTCGTCTCTACAGAATCCCCCACAGCTGCTCAAGAGTGTTAAGGTTGAGTGAAATACATGTCCACTGAAGGATTCTCACCTCAGGAGAATGAATATCGTCATTGTCATGCTAAAAAAAAAAGCCCAACAATGCAGGGAATGAGAAGAGAGTAGCATCTTCAGTTTCAGGTTTTTGTATTACATCACACAGTAGTGTGTGAATTCATGCCAGCGTTGATCAAGTACAACTCCCTCACACCTTCAGCACTCATACATCCCTATAGAAGAGCTTTACTACCACTGAACGTCACTGTGGGTACCAAGCACTTCTCTCTGTACTCCTCCTCTAGCAACACCAGAACATTTTGGATGCTGTTAGATCCAAAATGATTGAATTGGTCTCATGAGACCAGAGTATGGATTCCCAGAAGTCTATATTTTGTAAATATGGGCCTTGGAAAAAGCTAAATGAGTTTATTGTGCTTTGGCTACAGTCGGTACTGGTGTGGATAAACAAACATGCATGTCACTTCTGCAGGCCTCGTCATACTTTTCACAGCTTTTGCCGGCTCTGAGACACTTTCACAGTGTTTCTCCTGCTGTTTTTCTAGCAAAAACTCACTCATTACTAAATGAAAGCTTAAGTGAAGACCTGATTATTTCAGGGGCCTTTTCCAAGTCCAAGTCCATTGTTTTTGAATTTCTGTGTTACTTTGGCTATATTTTCACACTTAAAACAATATTTTGGTGTTCCTATTGTACCATTGTCCTCTTTTATGCTAAGAAATAATTCTCCTGACGGTTCTCTCTCAAGTGGTTTCATTGTTGTCAGCATTAAGTCGGAGTATGATTCAGTGGGCCATATAACACTTAATTATCAAGAAATGACTTGCCTTTAACAGTTTTGGTTCAACATACTTACCTGTTGATCAATACTTGCCTTAACCTTACACCAGAATTTTTTAATTTTATTTAGTAACTTTCAGGAGGGTGTACTCATTTTTGCAACACAACATTTTATCACTTTGATAAGAAAATTGTATTTTCTTGAATAATTTTAACATTCTTCTTTGGTAACTGATCAAGCAGACTTGCTGGAATATTATATCTCTAAAAAACCATAACATGTATTCTAAGCAAAGAGTAATTGCTGAATTTGTTAAGTTTCAGAGGGGGTGTACTCATTTATGCTGTGCACTGTATATGTTTAGATAAAAACTATGAATGTAAGGTCAATCTTCTGATGTTTATTAAAAATAACGCACATATACAATGTTTATAATTCTTGTGCATATTTTTGTTGTAGAGCTGCATATTCCAGAAAAGGCCAACGTATATTATGCCATGTCTACATCAGCCAACTACGACTTTGTTCTACGTCGATGCCCAAAAGGCCAACGGAAACAACTCATTCGCTCTGTTTCACTGTCATCAGGACGAGCCACAAAATAACAGCAGATTCAGCTCTGATTCTGGAAAACCTTTTCTGCGCTTGCTGAAAACTGTCTAGTCATTCAAACACAAATGGAGATGTCTGAGATTGAAAACAAGTCATTTTAAAGGAAAAAAAGACATATTTCTGGCCTACATTTCACCTTGGGAGTTGATGAAGACTTTGAGACGGCATTTGCAAGCCGTTTGCTTAAGTAACATGCACTAATGATGCATGCATGATAAAACATGAAGTAAGTAAATAAATAGCATCAATGATGTTAACTGTAGAGCTCAAATATCATGCGTTCAGTTTCATGAATTCATAACCCAGGTGCTTTAAATTGTTTTCAGTGACAAGAGACAGATAACAGACTTCATCTTCTTGAATTCTTCACATACAGTGCAGTGATAATGGGATGAAGCAAAGTTTCTCAATGACCTTCAGCTCTCATTCTTTGACTGCCATAATGAGACAGTCTAGCCACATACACTGTACGATAATGCGCTAACTTTGAATAGAAACACAGTCATACACCTAGAGGCCTGGGATGAGACTTTTTTTAAAGGTAAGTGTCTGTAGAGACTGCCTGTGGATAACACATGAGTTCACAGTGTTCTTGATTACAGCATGATGATGGTGTGTGTGTGAGAAGACGAGCCACTCCAACAGGTGCAGTGGCATTCCAGAGACACACTTTCACATCCACTGTCATGTGTGATTGCATTTACATGTCATTTGATGAATCCATTTTTAAAAAATATCATTTCTGATTTATTATTGTATGGTGTAGTGTGGCAGCTTTACTGAACATTCAATGGATATTTTTATACCACGTCTTACTGTATATTCTCCTTTATCAGCATCAAATTCAAGTAACTTGACTCTCCACAATCAGTCTGCTTTGATAAACTTTTACAAGCTCTTGCATAGTAGAAAAGAAGACAAATTAAATTAGCACTCAAAGGCATTTTAATATAGATATGTTAGTAATACAATATTTATTTATACTAGTTTGTTGTAAATTTCAGATATAATGCAACGTACAAAATAAGATGGTATTTGTTTAATAATTTGCATTGATCTATTTTATTTTGTTTTGTGTATTCTGAACCCTGCAACATTTCACTGATGGGTTTGTGCATTTGTGTCTGAAAAACAGTGCCTTCGTTTCTTTTGATATTCTGCATATCTCAATGTAAAACAGAAATTAAATGATCGCCCGTCCACATACTGTAATAAACACAATCTACACGTTGAACTAAGATGGTTATGCACAGATTTATGTGATGTAAAAAGAGGCAATCATGGCACTGAAACGAGCTAGAAAATACTTTCCATGACTGATTATGCTAGCAGTCTCTACAACTAGCAAAATGCATCCACATGCCCAATGTGGTAGACACCTAAACCGCCTTCTATTGAACCATGATTAACAAAACAAATTAACAAATATTAAAGCATCTGTTTTGAATCCAGTTTTGTATTGCATTTTGAAGACCTGGCCACAGTAATGTGTTTAGGATGGCATGGAGATATCAGTGAACTCAGCAGATCACATGTGGGGAAATCAATAAAGAAAACCTGAACTAAAAGATTCATGAAAAGGCTTTTGATTCTGATTCTGAAGAAATGGCACAAGCTTTGGCCTAAGATTAACTAATGTACAATACTGAGCCAAAAGCAAAGGCTTTGTGTCTGGGTTTCCTAGACACTGATTCTGACACTGCTGTGCTCTGCCCGTGGTTTTAAAATGTTCTAGGAATTACTGTCGGTACCTTGTTTTAAAAAATATCCAGAATTCACATCCCAAATGAAGGGGTCAAGTGTCTGTCAGTTAGCCCCTACTAGATCTAGATCCAATAAGCATCTTTGTATATTGATAGCCACTCATATATTTCAAAGTCAAAAATACAAAAAAGGTGCACACATCCCACAAACCCAAACAGGGCTCAGGTGCAGGACAAAAGAGACAAACTGAAGCAAAAAACAAATGTAACGCCCGCACACTGATGTAACTGCTCCATAAAAAAGTTTATTGCAACGTTTCGAACAACAAGTCTTCGTCAGGCACAGACACTTCACTCATATAGCCTATTTCATAATATTAAAGTAGATGAAACTGACTTTGTCAACTTTTTGTTATAAAAGTATAGAATAATACGACACTTTTTTCAATTAAAAATTATTCCTCTAGACTAGAGGGCTTAAATATGGAAGCCAATTTCCACCACCTAAGAAAAACAAATGCTTTGGTAAATCAAAATTAAATTTTTTTTTAAAAAGAGAGAGAATTTAGACAAAAAGTCTAAATTATAACTTATATAAGTTAGAAATATGAGCTGTGTCAAATCAAATCAAATATGATTATATGTATATACGTATGTGTGTGTGTATGACATGTCATTTTACATTTCATTACTTTTTAGCTCATATTTCTAACTTATAAATTCTCTCGTTTTTTGGTAAATTTTAATTTTAAATTTTAGACGCAGTGGCAGGAAATCGTTCATTAGGCATTTGATGACATAATTGATCACCACGTGATCTTTAGTGATCGACAGGGGTCTGATTGATTGATTGAAAAGCTCTAGTGATGCTCAATCCGTGTATCATTCGATCATACGTTTTTTGATTTAATATTAGAAAGTAGAAAAATGAGAAAACGGCTCCCTTTTCGTTTGTTTGTTTTTTTTCCCAAAAAAACGAAAAATTAAAATTCTGCTTAAATTTTCGTTTTTCGTTCATGGGTGGAAAAATTTAGAAACAGCTTGAATATTTTATTTCTACACGTGGGCGGGAATTAAACACCCCTTTCTGCTGATTGGTCAACCGAAGATCAAACCGTGCCTTCTCCAGTTCTTCTGCAGTATCACGCAGCAGAATAATAGTCCTCCACTGCTGCAGTTGTATGGATTCTTAACACATTTATTGCAACTACATTTAATCTTTTTTCATCAAACAGGCTAATGAATAGCTCGACACAACTCATACTGGGGCAGAGTCTAGACAGGGCTTTCTTCCTAGTTTTTGGGGAACTGTTATTACATTTACATATTTGCTTTAATGTTGTCAGGTCAAGTAAAGGCAATGGAGGAGGATGAAAACCAGGCAGACTGGCAGGTGGCAGAGGTGAGTGAGATGGATGCACATGTTGACATCTAATCACTTAGTCTTATAACAATGAATGGTAGGCTATCTAGGTCTAGTTTTCAATATTTTGCAGCCTCACAGCTTCTACTTGACATTTTTAGTTGTGCCCAAATTTCAGTGTCTCGACAAATCCTGAACACTAAATTATACCAAAATGTATTATTAGTAGTAGTAGTAGTACAATAAGAAAGGAGTGTTAAATACGGCAAATGGAATTATCTGCAGGATTCACAGTTATGAAAAGCCTAGAAATCTCAAGGAATTTCAGAAGTGTGAGTAAACATTCATATTCAAGTATTTCTTTTGACTAGAAATGCCTTTTGCATGTTTGCGGTGACTCTTTCTGCAGTTACATCATTACGCCAGTTGGTGGCGGCAAGTGACTGTCTTTGAGACAATGTACAGACTCCGTCAGTATCAGTAATAACGGTCACTTCGATCTCACGTGTGTATGTGTATATGCACTTTATTGAAACGACTAGAAAAGTCATGCAATTTATTGCCCAAAAATAAATAAGAACCCTAAAAATGTTCATTTATGGTTGTATTGTATAAATCCAAAGGGTGTCCCGATGTTACGCAGTGATATAAAACAACAGATTAAACGCATATAAAAGAGAAACAAAGAAAAAGTGCACTCTGTAGGAGTGTCTAAAATTTTAATCAAGGCACACTGCATGAAAAACAACTATTTTGGCCACTAGATGGCAGGAAACAAAGCCTTTTGGGAACATGTCAACATAATATAGTTACAAGTTAGGTGAAATTCTATTTTGTCATCTGGGTTTCCCCTTATCGTTTAACTTTTTTTCTTAATTTTTGTTCTGGAATGTGGATATTTGCTTCTCACTTTGTGCTGAGATAATGTCTTAACCTCAATACCGTTGGTGCATGTCAGTGAAGTTTATTAACTTCATGGCAGAGGTGATGTTATTGTTTTAAAACAGAATAAAGAAAGAATGTCAAACAGTTCGAGACAATGAGAGAGAATAGCGCTGCATTCCAGCATGTTCAGGGTGTCTGGGTGGAAAAAACTGACTCACTTTCTGGCAAGTCTGTGGGGTTTTCAGTCCAGGCCCTGTGCCAGACAAGACAGGAGCAGGTCCTGAGTCAGTGCAACGTGCCCGGCCCAGGCGGGCCCTGAGTGGGCCGCAGCGTGGGAGCGGACGGGGATATGGAGCACCCCACGATTAATCAGACCCAGTGCTCTGACAGTTTTACTGTGTCTACACTGAATGAGTGACGTGACAAAATTGGAATGATGAAATCAAGCTTTAGTGTTTCTTTGATTACCATGTTCTGGTTTTATTGTGCCACATTGTTCACTCTCAGTATAGATGGGAAGTTATAATCTAAACAGATTATTTTGACTGTAATTATTGAAATGTAATCCGATCTAAACTTTAGGTTTAACAAAACATGTAAATAATCCAAGGATATAACCACATACAATACTGTTTAAAAGTTTGCAGTTTAATGTTTTCGAAAGAAGTCTCTTCTGCTCACCAAGGCTGCATTTATTTGATTCAACAATACCGTAAAAACAGTGAAAATTGTTAAATATTATCACAATTTTAAAGAATGGTTTCTATTTGAATATATTTTAAGATGTAATTTATTTCTGTGATGGCAAAGCTGATTTTTTTTTTCATTGTTTTTCATGATTCTTTGAACAGGAAGTTCAAAAGAGCAGCTTTTCGTTTGTATAGAAATCTTTTCTTTTTATACGTGTCTTTTCTGTCGCTTTTCATACATTTTTGGAAGTATTAATTAAAATAATTAAAAATAATCTTGGTGACCCCAGACTTTTAAACAGTAGTGCACTATGGATTTTAAGAGGACCAAAAGTAATAATTCAAGAACCAAAAACCCATACTGGTTGATCTCTAATCTAAGTATTAAGTGGACATCTGCCTCTCCAACAGGTGCAGTGGCATTCCAGAGACACACTTTCACATCCACTGTCATGTGTGATTGCATTTACATGTCATTTGATGAATCCATTTTTAAAAAATATCATTTCTGATTTATTATTGTATGGTGTAGTGTGGCAGCTTTACTGAACATTCAATGGATATTTTTATACCACGTCTTACTGTATATTCTCCTTTATCAGCATCAAATTCAAGTAACTTGACTCTCCACAATCAGTCTGCTTTGATAAACTTTTACAAGCTCTTGCATAGTAGAAAAGAAGACAAATTAAATTAGCACTCAAAGGCATTTTAATATAGATATGTTAGTAATACAATATTTATTTATACTAGTTTGTTGTAAATTTCAGATATAATGCAACGTACAAAATAAGATGGTATTTGTTTAATAATTTGCATTGATCTATTTTATTTTGTTTTGTGTATTCTGAACCCTGCAACATTTCACTGATGGGTTTGTGCATTTGTGTCTGAAAAACAGTGCCTTCGTTTCTTTTGATATTCTGCATATCTCAATGTAAAACAGAAATTAAATGATCGCCCGTCCACATACTGTAATAAACACAATCTACACGTTGAACTAAGATGGTTATGCACAGATTTATGTGATGTAAAAAGAGGCAATCATGGCACTGAAACGAGCTAGAAAATACTTTCCATGACTGATTATGCTAGCAGTCTCTACAACTAGCAAAATGCATCCACATGCCCAATGTGGTAGACACCTAAACCGCCTTCTATTGAACCATGATTAACAAAACAAATTAACAAATATTAAAGCATCTGTTTTGAATCCAGTTTTGTATTGCATTTTGAAGACCTGGCCACAGTAATGTGTTTAGGATGGCATGGAGATATCAGTGAACTCAGCAGATCACATGTGGGGAAATCAATAAAGAAAACCTGAACTAAAAGATTCATGAAAAGGCTTTTGATTCTGATTCTGAAGAAATGGCACAAGCTTTGGCCTAAGATTAACTAATGTACAATACTGAGCCAAAAGCAAAGGCTTTGTGTCTGGGTTTCCTAGACACTGATTCTGACACTGCTGTGCTCTGCCCGTGGTTTTAAAATGTTCTAGGAATTACTGTCGGTACCTTGTTTTAAAAAATATCCAGAATTCACATCCCAAATGAAGGGGTCAAGTGTCTGTCAGTTAGCCCCTACTAGATCTAGATCCAATAAGCATCTTTGTATATTGATAGCCACTCATATATTTCAAAGTCAAAAATACAAAAAAGGTGCACACATCCCACAAACCCAAACAGGGCTCAGGTGCAGGACAAAAGAGACAAACTGAAGCAAAAAACAAATGTAACGCCCGCACACTGATGTAACTGCTCCATAAAAAAGTTTATTGCAACGTTTCGAACAACAAGTCTTCGTCAGGCACAGACACTTCACTCATATAGCCTATTTCATAATATTAAAGTAGATGAAACTGACTTTGTCAACTTTTTGTTATAAAAGTATAGAATAATACGACACTTTTTTCAATTAAAAATTATTCCTCTAGACTAGAGGGCTTAAATATGGAAGCCAATTTCCACCACCTAAGAAAAACAAATGCTTTGGTAAATCAAAATTAAATTTTTTTTTAAAAAGAGAGAGAATTTAGACAAAAAGTCTAAATTATAACTTATATAAGTTAGAAATATGAGCTGTGTCAAATCAAATCAAATATGATTATATGTATATACGTATGTGTGTGTGTATGACATGTCATTTTACATTTCATTACTTTTTAGCTCATATTTCTAACTTATAAATTCTCTCGTTTTTTGGTAAATTTTAATTTTAAATTTTAGACGCAGTGGCAGGAAATCGTTCATTAGGCATTTGATGACATAATTGATCACCACGTGATCTTTAGTGATCGACAGGGGTCTGATTGATTGATTGAAAAGCTCTAGTGATGCTCAATCCGTGTATCATTCGATCATACGTTTTTTGATTTAATATTAGAAAGTAGAAAAATGAGAAAACGGCTCCCTTTTCGTTTGTTTGTTTTTTTTCCCAAAAAAACGAAAAATTAAAATTCTGCTTAAATTTTCGTTTTTCGTTCATGGGTGGAAAAATTTAGAAACAGCTTGAATATTTGATTTCTACACGTGGGCGGGAATTAAACACCCCTTTCTGCTGATTGGTCAACCGAAGATCAAACCGTGCCTTCTCCAGTTCTTCTGCAGTATCACGCAGCAGAATAATAGTCCTCCACTGCTGCAGTTGTATGGATTCTTAACACATTTATTGCAACTACATTTAATCTTTTTTCATCAAACAGGCTAATGAATAGCTCGACACAACTCATACTGGGGCAGAGTCTAGACAAGGCTTTCTTCCTAGTTTTTGGGGAACTGTTATTACATTTACATATTTGCTTTAATGTTGTCAGGTCAAGTAAAGGCAATGGAGGAGGATGAAAACCAGGCAGACTGGCAGGTGGCAGAGGTGAGTGAGATGGATGCACATGTTGTCATCTAATCACTTAGTCTTATAACAATGAATGGTAGGCTATCTAGGTCTAGTTTTCAATATTTTGCAGCCTCACAGCTTCTACTTGACATTTTTAGTTGTGCCCAAATTTCAGTGTCTCGACAAATCCTGAACACTAAATTATACCAAAATGTATTATTAGTAGTAGTAGTAGTACAATAAGAAAGGAGTGTTAAATACGGCAAATGGAATTATCTGCAGGATTCACAGTTATGAAAAGCCTAGAAATCTCAAGGAATTTCAGAAGTGTGAGTAAACATTCATATTCAAGTATTTCTTTTGACTAGAAATGCCTTTTGCATGTTTGCGGTGACTCTTTCTGCAGTTACATCATTACGCCAGTTGGTGGCGGCAAGTGACTGTCTTTGAGACAATGTACAGACTCCGTCAGTATCAGTAATAACGGTCACTTCGATCTCACGTGTGTATGTGTATATGCACTTTATTGAAACGACTAGAAAAGTCATGCAATTTATTGCCCAAAAATAAATAAGAACCCTAAAAATGTTCATTTATGGTTGTATTGTATAAATCCAAAGGGTGTCCCGATGTTACGCAGTGATATAAAACAACAGATTAAACGCATATAAAAGAGAAACAAAGAAAAAGTGCACTCTGTAGGAGTGTCTAAAATTTTAATCAAGGCACACTGCATGAAAAACAACTATTTTGGCCACTAGATGGCAGGAAACAAAGCCTTTTGGGAACATGTCAACATAATATAGTTACAAGTTAGGTGAAATTCTATTTTGTCATCTGGGTTTCCCCTTATCGTTTAACTTTTTTTCTTAATTTTTGTTCTGGAATGTGGATATTTGCTTCTCACTTTGTGCTGAGATAATGTCTTAACCTCAATACCGTTGGTGCATGTCAGTGAAGTTTATTAACTTCATGGCAGAGGTGATGTTATTGTTTTAAAACAGAATAAAGAAAGAATGTCAAACAGTTCGAGACAATGAGAGAGAATAGCGCTGCATTCCAGCATGTTCAGGGTGTCTGGGTGGAAAAAACTGACTCACTTTCTGGCAAGTCTGTGGGGTTTTCAGTCCAGGCCCTGTGCCAGACAAGACAGGAGCAGGTCCTGAGTCAGTGCAACGTGCCCGGCCCAGGCGGGCCCTGAGTGGGCCGCAGCGTGGGAGCGGACGGGGATATGGAGCACCCCACGATTAATCAGACCCAGTGCTCTGACAGTTTTACTGTGTCTACACTGAATGAGTGACGTGACAAAATTGGAATGATGAAATCAAGCTTTAGTGTTTCTTTGATTACCATGTTCTGGTTTTATTGTGCCACATTGTTCACTCTCAGTATAGATGGGAAGTTATAATCTAAACAGATTATTTTGACTGTAATTATTGAAATGTAATCCGATCTAAACTTTAGGTTTAACAAAACATGTAAATAATCCAAGGATATAACCACATACAATACTGTTTAAAAGTTTGCAGTTTAATGTTTTCGAAAGAAGTCTCTTCTGCTCACCAAGGCTGCATTTATTTGATTCAACAATACCGTAAAAACAGTGAAAATTGTTAAATATTATCACAATTTTAAAGAATGGTTTCTATTTGAATATATTTTAAGATGTAATTTATTTCTGTGATGGCAAAGCTGATTTTTTTTTTCATTGTTTTTCATGATTCTTTGAACAGGAAGTTCAAAAGAGCAGCTTTTCGTTTGTATAGAAATCTTTTCTTTTTATACGTGTCTTTTCTGTCGCTTTTCATACATTTTTGGAAGTATTAATTAAAATAATTAAAAATAATCTTGGTGACCCCAGACTTTTAAACAGTAGTGCACTATGGATTTTAAGAGGACCAAAAGTAATAATTCAAGAACCAAAAACCCATACTGGTTGATCTCTAATCTAAGTATTAAGTGGACATCTGCCTCTAAATGTATATGGTATTTGTGACCATTCAAAATCAAATATCGCTTTTAACTGATATCTATTTCTTATTTTTCCATATTTATCATTTGCATGCATTCATAATTTCACTTTATTATAATCCATATTTCATTTAGCCTAATTGGCTCTTTACTGTGACTGGCCGGAAAGAGCCTTAAGAAAACAGCCATATAAAACACCAAAACATTACAAGATAAATTAGATAAGTTTTATCATAGTGATAAAATTGTTTTCGTATCGACCTTATCGTTTTATAGACCTACCGCCTTCATAGGAAGTCAATAATCTCACAGCGACTATTCCTGTAATCGATGTTTGTTTTACCTGACACATACTTTCTATTATGAGAGATAAATGGCCTTTTCACAAGGAAGCACGCACAGACACAAGCACGTGGATGTGTTTATAAAGGAAGTGTATGTGCAAACAGACACACATTACTGTTATGTTTAAACACTCTCACATTTATCATTACATACTTTTGTCCAAAATCATTTAACAGGAACTCACACACAGACACAAAACGTATGCAGTGAGAGTCAGCTTGTGTTCAAAAGAAAGTGCTGAATCACAGGGTGAGTCTCATGAAAATAAGTCTCATGCAAGAACAGCCTTGTTCAACACACACACACTCACTCTATGCATGTGTACTTATGCGGACAGTGTCACAGCCCACAATCAAAAGGCCTAAAAAGAAAATCTTATTGTTTTAAACACGCAAGTCTAATCCACATGGAAATATGTTCTCAATGTGTCCCATTACAGTAATGAGCAGTTGACCTACATTAACATCCTAACCCCTGTTTGGTGAATAACAATACCATGGTACTGCATCATATCACGTGTTAAATGTTAGCAATTAAATAATCACTTCAATTATGAAAATACTTATGAAGACTTAAATGAATGAAGTTTTTTGTTCTTTTAAAGAAGTCTCTTCTGTTCATTTATTTGATCAAAAATACAGCAATATTGTGAAATATTACCATTTAAAACAACTATTTTTTATTGTAATGTTTTAAAATGTAATTTAGTTATGTGATGCAAAGCTACAAAAATAAAACAAAAATGATTTTAATGTTGAATTTATTTTATTGTTTTAAACACGCAAGTCTAATCCACATGGAAATATGTTCTCAATGTGTCCCATTACAGTAATGAGCAGTTGACCTACATTAACATCCTAACCCCTGTTTGGTGAATAACAATACCATGGTACTGCATCATATCACGTGTTAAATGTTAGCAATTAAATAATCACTTCAATTATGAAAATACTTATGAAGACTTAAATGAATTAAGTTTTTTGTTCTTTTAAAGAAGTCTCTTCTGTTCATTTATTTGATCAAAAATACAGCAATATTGTGAAATATTACCATTTAAAACAACAATTTTTTATTGTAATGTTTTAAAATGTAATTTAGTTATGTGATGCAAAGCTACAAAAATAAAACAAAAATTATTTTAATGTTGAATTTATTTTATTTTTTGCATAAACCATGATACTTTCTTTTCAGGATTCTTTGATTAATAAAAGTTCGAAAGAACAGCATTTATTTGAAATCGAAATCTTTTGTAACCGTATAAATGTCTTTACTGTCATTCGAACAATTTCATGCATCTTTGCTGAATAAAAGTATTCTTTTTTTTTTTTAAAGAAATCTTACTGACCTCAATGTTTTGAACAGTAGTGTGTATTATATGTTAATATTTCATGTTATTATTGAATGTTTCCTCATATACTCGAATGTTTACCATTTGCATAGGTCTTTTTATTGTTTCATAATTTTGGTTATTTTTTTATTTTAGTGATTTATTTAAAATGTTACATTTATTTCAACTTTCCATACCCCCAACAATTTCTTTACATTATATTTTATACAAAACCTATTTATTTTATATATTGAAGTAACGTTTTCATTTACAAAGTAACTTTTCTACATTTTTTTAAACCAAATAAAATGATCAAATATCAACATACGCACTCAGAAAAAAATTACAAAACTGTCACTGGGGCGATACCTTTTCAAAGGGAACTAATATGTGCACTTTAGGTAGAATAAGTACTAGTTTCTTTAAGGTACTGATATGTACCGTTTAGGGGTAAATAAGGTGCAAAAACGTTCCTTTTAGCTTCAGTTAGTCTTTTCTCTCAGTCTTTTGGCTTGTGTGTCAGTGTTTACCTTTTCCCATGCCAGCAGTGGCCTGCTTACCAAAGTTTGTTTACCCCTGTGATAAAATGTATTGGCCATGATGCAAAAGTTGCTGCAATCAGATCAGCGTTTCGGCTAATATCAACAGCTGTAGTGAACAGCTGATGAAAACCAAATTCATAATATAGCCAACTTAAAATCATCAGGTTTGCATCCTGTTGTGGGAGTATTTCTTATAAGATGGGACTGAAGCACTTGTCAGCAGAGAGGAAGATGGATGGTACAAATTACAGGCAAAACTAAAACCTGCAGCAAGGAAGTTGAAAATGGGAAGATGGCTGGAGCTTTCAACATGACAACACACCACCAAATCAGCTATTCAGCGGCTGAAAGACAGGATGATAAATGTCCTAGAGATGTCACGTCAGTCCTAAAATCCTGTAAACGTGGAATGATGAAATAAGGGCCAGCCAATGATGTCTATGCTCTCTTAATATTTGCCCTCATGATACATGTGAAAAATCAATCAAGTATGAAAGCAGATAGAGGGCAAAATTCAGACAAAGGATGCTTTTAAAGTATAGCCTATAAAGGAAGAGTTCACCAAGTTCTGTCACAATTGACTTGCTCTTAAACCCATGATTCTTCCACATTCTTGTTGTTGAAAAGTACAATTTGCCAACATAAAATCTCATTTTAGATGCACAGGATTCAATATGAATGCTCACAGTGCGCCGAACTATGTTTCTCATATTATATCTTTAGATGCCTTATAATTTCCTAATATGATCGAACAGAATGACCACGTCCTATTTTTTTCTTGCAGGGATTTATTTTCCTATCGACGTGCTTATATATGTACGCATCTTTGAGTTGATTTAGTTTACAGTTCT